GTCCGTATACATATACACATGTGTATATACCTGTATAAATATATATATATATATATATACATATATATACATATACATATACACATATATAGAAATATACAGATGTATACATCTATAACTATATAGACATACACATAAACATACAGGCATGCAACATATGTATATACGTATATTATTCTATGTGCGCAATATGTACATACATATATGCATATGTATCTTTTTGCAAAATATGTATACCCTATAAAGGCTTCCCTACAAGCCCCCGAGTGAGATTTTTGCGCTCCAGCCTTGCGTCCCTCCAGCTTGAGCCCCAGCTCCCTGAGCCGGGCCTGCCCACAAAAAAATTAAAAAAAACAATGACAAGAAGAGTCATGATGTATACTAACCCTAGCAATAGTAAAAATAGACATAAGGTATCATAACACAATACTAATAGTAGTGATAAACAGAATGACAACAAGAATAGGAGGAATAATGACAACACTAGACATGCTTGATAATAACAATAATAATAGTAGCAGTGAATAGAATCACAACAGGAGTGACAAGACAAGACATAGTTATAAAAGTTGTAGAAAAAGAAAGATAGAACAACAAGAATAGCAGTAATAATACTAGCGGTAGAAAGTTACGAAATAATAGCAATGAAAATCATAATGAAAATGACAACGACAACAGTCAGAACAACAACAACAACAACAACAACAACAACAACAACAACAACAACAACAACAACAACAACAACAACAACAACAACAACAACAACATCAATACTGAAAAATATGATAATGATGCAAGTGGAGACCAGGATGGACGCTGAATGGCACAGTAGGGTTTAGGGTGTTAAGGGTGTGTCTAAGGTTGAAGCCTTTTGATGCCTTCTGAAGAGTTTAGTGCATTCAGTTTTAAGGTTTTTAAGGTGGTGTGGGGTCTTGGCATGATTTGGGTTCGAAAAGATTTGCTTTATGAATATTGAGGGTACGCTTTGCAGTTGACTCCGTTTGGTGCATCGGCTTTGTCTTGGCGAAGAGGGTTTCGAGTCATAAGGCAACTACGATCTTGTGGGAGTTTCATCGCGTCTTGTAAGGGCTTTCCGGTGTGGCCGCGCTCCTCAACATCTTCGGGCCTCTTATACCCATGAAGCTGTTCGAAGGCACCTTGAGCTCTTTCACGTTCATGCTGCTGTAGTCTGGCATCGCGTTCCGGCAGAATGATCGGTCTCTGGACCTTCGCAAGGCCATTCAAGTTCAGATTCGGGCATGACAGATAGCCCCGACGCGATGGACGCGGCAGACTACGACACTGCCCTTCACGATGCTTCTGGGAATAGGGGCGGCTGAAGCAAGCGATGTGTATGCATGGCATGGCCGGCACCTGCCGGAACCAACTTTTAAAAATGTGTTGGAATGATTTCCCCCACGGGTCGTACGGGTCGTGGGTGCTAAAATGTGACATGTCTGAGGTCTGCGTGCTCCGGATGCCAGATGTTAGTGCCTCCAGCCCAAAACCCAGCGAAACGAATGAACACTGCCGAATCCTTTAAACACCGACGTCTACGATCATTGATTGGCTCAGTGTTGGTGCTGTTTTTATGCGCAGAGCCGCATGCGTGCAAAAGGTAGCACGTCGTTAAGTCCCTTACAGCCAACCCATGTCGAGTAGCAAAGTACTGTCTAGTTATCGATGAGACTCAGGTGTTGTGTTCTGCCATGTGCAGCTGAATTTGTCGACAAGACCTCTCGCAAGCACATATTAGTAGGCAGTAAACATAGCTGACCCCAAAGCCTTCTCAGCCCGCAAAGACATGGCGTGGGCAATGTAAAGGATGGAGACAGCGATCGGCAGCCGGCAAGCTCCTTCCAGCTGCAGTGAGCCGTGTTCTACGCAGAGGAGCAGCGATGAAGCAAAGCTTGCCCAGCACAACTTGAAAGTATGCAGAAGACCGCAACCCAGCCCGACATAAAACCTGGAGCATCACTTGAATCGAAGGCGTTACCAGGATTGCTTGCATTCTGGGCGAGGCATGCAGCCGAATCCAGAGCACTTCCCCCGCTGACAATCGGAAGTTCGTCGCTGTCCTTATTGCAATTATAATATAATGGGCCTGAAAACCCTATTCTAATTGTTAAGGCACCTATATTATAGTACCCTACTATAGATCCCTCACAGTAACCCCTTAAAAGGAACCCTACCCTAATTATCAAGGCCCCGCCTGGTATGTGGCAAGTAAGAAAAGCAGAGCCGGGCTTGCAAGTCCCTTCCGCCACCGAGGCTGCGCCATGGCAGGTGCCTCTACCGCCCTGCCCTCCCCACAGACCCAAGCTCAGATGTCTGAGGCTCGAGGTGGTAGAAATTCCAACACAAATCCGCCCCGGCAAGAACATGCAGAGAGACCCGGGCTTCAGGGACGTCGCGTCCAACAAGACTGGCTGCGGCGGGCCCTCGTCAAAGGAGTACTGCCTGCAAGCGTCATTTCATCCAAGGTGCCTGTCCCGCAGCTTTCATGGCTGTAGCTTTTACCTTTGGTTAGTAGGGAATGGAGGAATGGGGTACAACTACAAATACTATTACTGCCATTCTTCCATTCCCTACTAACCAAAGGTCAGAGCTCTGCATGATTTTGAGCGACAGACAGCAGAGCCGGCTGAATCATCACGAGAGAATTCATGGTGTTCTCCCTGAGGATTAGCCTTTGCAGACCAGACTCCAAGCGCGCAAAAACACAAAAGCACACTTGAACGTTTGATGATATAAATCCTGCATTACCCATAATAAGGAGTATACCATAATTCCCATAGTTTAGGTTCCTTAAGGTAATGCAGGATTTATATCATCAACCGAAGCACTCAGGCAGTGACATTCGATAGTATGCCGTCTCGTCTGGGCTGGCATTGAAAGTCTGCAAGAAGTTGCTCCGCCGAAGGTGGTACCTGAAGTCCGCCGGAACGACCGGGCATGTACCCTAACCCTAAACTCAACCTAGATGGGGGTTTCCGAAAATAGGGGTACAAGTACCTTATTTTGGCGTCCTCATAATAAGGATCCTACTATTTAGAGTACTATATTAGGGTCCCCTGTTTTCAGAAACTCCCAGATGTCCAAGCTCCAGGCATGAACTGAGGAAAGATGGACAACTCCGGGCTCAAGTGAAAGCTGGAAGGGTCGTCCTCACAGCAAAGGAGAGAAATCCTTGCTGTGGTGTTTAGGGTTTGGGGTTTAGGGTTCAGGGCATAGGGTGTTCCCTTGCAAAAGCGACCTGGCTCTTGCCATCGCAACAACGTGGCTTATCTTGTTGTTCCCTTCGCTCCTATGAGCCTGTTCTCCGCTGCCAGTGTCTCGAACAATTTCACCAAGACGATATCACCGCGCGGCCATCTTACTATATCCCCAAAACCCTGAACTTCACAATACCACACTTCCAATTCTTGGAGTTACCACCCAATCAAGGGAAGGCTCTGCAAAGGGTCTTCCTTTACGTGATGCGGTGGTCATGCTTGTCTCAACATAGCCACAAGAGATGTTCCCTTTTCAGTTGGGATCACATTTTAGGGAACGTGTATTCCGCAATCCCAATGCCCCTTCCTTTAAGTGGGCCCTAGAACAAGAACTACACGGTGAAGAACCTGTGTGGCTAGCTCCGCATGACATGGCACGAACGGGAAGTTGGGACTCTGTTCCGATTCTAGCAAATACAGCACGTTCCGATCCTGGCAAATACAGCACAGCTGACTAGACCGCTTAGATTTCCACGGTGAGCTCAGCACGGACGTCGAAAGCACAGCTCTTTTTGCTTTGAAACTGAAAGGCTGACAGGATGCTTGTTTCTTTCAAACTACTCTGTGCGAAATGTACCCAAATGAACCGGCATGGTTCTCTCAGACTCATACTCCAATACGGAATCACCGCATCGTGAGCGTGGTGAAGCCGTGCAACATCTTCTGAAATTTGCGGGCAAGCTGCATGACGTGACGTGTTGCCTAGACTCGAGAATGGATTAGAATGTTTAGATTGGTGGCAGGTTGTCACACAGCGCGCTCCAAAGTGTCACGGGGCCGCACCCTTTTAAGAATCGATATCTGTTCGTCTGGTGTTGGTGACTGGGTGCTCAGGATCAGCCTGTGCTTCAAAGCATAAGCGCGTCTGTCGAGAGCCGACGCTATGGATTGGTTGTCAGACTCTGACCGACACACAGCAAGGGAACAGTGCATCAGGGATTTGGCAGCAACCGCCTGCTTACAACAACCGGCCGCACGGCAGTGCAGCTCAAAAAAGGTCTAACTGATACGGAATTAGACACGCATGAGCCCAGTTCTGCCCCCCCATCCATCGGATGCTTGGGACAGACGGCGTGGAACTTGGAAGCTTGCAGAAATCATGCAAATGCAGCTGCAAAGCACACAAGCTCTGAGCATGCCATGAGAAGTTGAAATCCGATGCGGCAAGATGTCAGATGAGGGGAGCAACTGAAAGACTGCTGCATTTCTGCATAAAAAAGCCGTCGAATAGCGTGGCGCTGGGCGCCGATAGAAAAGTGGAAGGATGTGCAAAAAGGCTTGATGAGAGAGCTGCTGGGTGCTGGGCGCCGGCATTAGCCACGACTGCATACACACGAGGATCGACCCAGTGCTAGCCGAGTTCTTTCGGTATTCGACACGAAAACCAGAACTGCGCCTTCACAGCCAGTCACCGTACTGCTCATTCAATGCCAGTCATTGCTGGTTAGACTCGGCAAAGACAGCAGACCTTGCTCGAGCAAATTTCGCTCCGTTGCACCGTGCTCTTCCATCGAGGCCGTGGGGTCACACCCGGCAGGAGATGGAGCCACGCCTGCAGGCGGTGTAGGGGCTTAGGGTTTCGGGTTTAGGGGTTTAGGGGTTTAGGGGCTTAGGGGTTTAGGGTTTAGGGGCTTAGGGGTTTAGGATTTAGGGGTTTAGGGTTTAGGGCTTCCGTGGGCCAGAGAAGGAAAGATGCGGAACTCATCTCAGCGAGCCTCGAGGTTCTTACCTCAGCACGTGGTCGTCTGCTTCGAGATGTGTTGCGTTTTGTGCTTCTGGGGCCGCGACAAACTGAAGATGATTGACATCTCGCCGGATAGCACAGGCAGCTTGATGTCATGTGAAACATCGGGCGCCTTTCAAGCTATGACTCCATAAAGTCGCAGTTGAGTCCTCTTAGACAATCGACAGAGGCTAAGCCGCTGGCGATGTCCAGCTTCTTCGCTGCCGGAGGTGGGGAAACCTACTTCAGCTCATCACAGTCCCTATTCCCCCTTCCCGCGGGAATGCACCGGGCTTGATAGATTCACTAGAAGAACTTCATAAATCACAAGCAGGCAGCCTAGGCAAATCCTGTACCACATGCATGACAGAGACATGGCCTTGGCAGTCTCCAGCATGCTTGCTTGCTTCAGCATCACATAGCCGGCGATGTCGCGCATGACCTCGGATCTGTGGCTTATACTTGTTCTAACACAAGGCTGCATTTGCACAGCGGCGAAACGACGACTGCATAGACATAGCAACATGGCCGTGGCAATTGCAGGTTCTGACAGGATTCGGCATGTCAACGAGCATGACTGTCATGCTCCACCGAGACTGTCAGGCCGGGGGCATCTGGATCCAGTCTGAGAAGGACAGATAATTAAAATAATTAAAATAATTAAAATAAGTAAATATTACTACTATTATTACTATTACTATTGTTATTACTACTATGTGACGCACACCTCACCATAAGAACATGGTCGAAGCAAACACTGGACCATGCCCTTGAGGCCACGGCATGATCTGGAGGCGTAATCTTGAAGTGTTCCATCAACTTCAGATAAGCCTGAAGATTCAAAAAGATACTTCGACGCGCTGCAACCTCCGATTCTGAATAAGAGATGCTAGTCACGATGAGACTGCATGACTGGTGGATAGCCTTCTTTCCGAAAATGCTGTCACCCCACTGGCTACGAACCACCCCAGAGAGAATCCTACTTGACACACGAGATACTGGACCGCTTGGAGACACGGTTGAGTTTTAGAAGGACCGACGTATGCAGGCAAAGGCAGATGTCAGCTTGAATAAAAATAGAACAAAAAGTATCGAAAAGGCCAGAAGAAAGCTGAGTCCCCAGGAGTAGCAACAGGGAACAAAAAGAGAAACTAGATGGTAAGTAATAGAAGGCCATAGAAGAACTAGCAAAGCTACATGTATATCAAACGTAAAATCACGAAATGTACACAAAAGGTAGACTCCACGTTGAAAGCCAAGCACATACAAGGTAGAGCAGGCAACGCAAAGGTGTCGCACCTTCTGTTTACACCGCCAAATTGCCGCTTGTGCCCGGAGCTGCCCCGAAACATAAGAAAAGAGAGGGCAGCACAAGGGCTTGGACTAGGTAGGTTATATGGCATTGGCCATAGGATTAGGGTTTCGGGCTTCGTTTTCAGGGTTTAATTTGGTGTATAGGGTACATGGTTGTGGATTCCTTCACAAGTAGCTTGCTTTACGCATCTCCGTCTGTTTGATTAACACAACAACTGCCCTTCAACGTTTCTCAGACCGTCGGCACCTGCAAGAACACGTAGGCGTCGCCGGTCGTGAGCAAGTACCAACGCGCCTGTGCGGTCAAAACTGAGAAAACCAGTCAGTTCAGCCTGCTGGTATTGGGTAGGTAAGAGAACACCACGCAACGATGATGGTAAATGTTCTCAGCCTTACGCAGCATCCCGAACAAGGCGCCTCCATGAATTTCGCCAAAGTTCTCCCGGAGTGCCTGCAGTGTTGTGGTGTACACTTGGCGGTGGGTGCCTGCATGTGAGCTAGGGCCAGGACCTTCCGAAGCCTTCCAGCAGCTTGTCAGCATTCTGATCTGTCAACAGCGCATATGTCACCTCGAGTTGAAGGTGCAGTATTAGGGTTTAGGGTTTAGGGTTTGCAGCATCAGGATGTTTTCCGAGGCAGCTATGAGGACAAGTTGCGGCATCAGGCTCGCAGCCGTCTTGGATCATGCTGAACAGCCAGTCCTCAACAAATTGACGGATCGAAGCGAACAAACACAATTTATCCGGCCCTGACCCAGAACCCAAACGCTACGGAGCCCAAAGCCCTAAACCCCCAACCTCAACCCCTAACCCTAAAACCTATGAAGCCCTAGACCCTAAACCCCAAAGCCCCAAACCCCAAGGGGAACCCTAAACCCTAAACCCTAAACCCCAAACAAGGAACCATAAACCGCATGAAGCCCTAAATCCTTTTCCCTAAACCCTATGAAGCTTACGCTCCGAGCGTCCATCGCGAGATCGGGCCGCTGTGCTTGGAGGAACGTGCTGGCCATGCAGTTGTAGCTGATGGTGCTCGGCGCCAGGCCTCTCAGAGATTCCACGGTTAACCCTAAACCCTAAACCCTAAACCCCTAAACCCCTAAACCCTAAACCCCTAAACCCTAAACCCCTAAACCCCTAAACCCCTAAACCCCTAAACCCTAAACCCCTAAACCCTAAACCCCTAAACCCTAAACCCCTAAACCCCTAAACCCCTAAACCCTAAACCCCTAAACCCTAAACCCCTAAACCCTAAACCCCTAAACCCCTAAACCCCTAAACCCCTAAACCCTAAACCCCTAAACCCTAAACCCCTAAACCCCTAAACCCTAAACCCTAAACCCAGGGTGGGGGACCTGGGGCTTGGACCTCAAACGAATCAGAGGAGCTTGCGGTTTAGGGTTCGGGCTTTAGGGTTTAGGGTTCAGGGTTATAGGGTTTGGGATTTAGGGTTAGGGTTAATAGGGCATCTGTATATACATCTATATATACGTATGTATGTCTACACGTTTTGCCTATTCGTGTATGTGTGTGTGTGTGTCCATAAAATATTACACACATACATGCATGCACGCATACATGCATGCCTGCGTACGTGCATACACACACACTTTTCTGCATTTATGTATATATGTATATATGAACACACACTAGGTGTACAGATGTATGTGCCTATGTATGTGTGTATATATATATATATATATATATATATATATACGTGTATGTGTCTATATATATACACATATATGTATAGATATAACCAAATACATATACATGCCTATGTATCTAATATAACTGCATGTACAGTCGAATTCGTATACATGTTTTTGTATTGATTCTGGTTGATTGATCTTCTTTGTTTCTATGTATGTATTTCCAGTATATAGAGAAACAGAGAAAAACAGTCAAAAGCAGACAGAGAGAGAGAGAGAGAGATAATATATATATATATATACATACATACACCTATTTATATATATATATATATATAAGCCCTAAACCCCTAAACCCTGACCCCTAAAACTTAAACCGTCCATGTATACATATGTATACATATGTATATATATATATATATATATATATATATATATTTCTATAATGTATGTATACATATATATATATATATATATTCATATACATACATACATATATATATATATACATATATATATATATACATATTGTGGAGCGGCCTTTGCAAGTCAGCACGGAGAACCAGAGCTGGGCAGCGGCTGTGTTGCTCTGCACGGCGCAGGCCTGCAGGAGGCCTTCGACCAAGAGCTTGCGCGTCCAGAGTTCTGTAGGGTCCCTTAAGCTGGAAGGTTTTGGATGGGTTTTCCCAATTTTTGTAGGGGTTTTTGAAATTTAAGGGGTTTGGGGCTCCTTACTGCAAAGTTCCTGGGGGTTACGGGATTCCTCACACTCCCTCTCCTTGCCCCTGTTTTGTGGAGGCCGAGGTGCAATTGTAGCACATGAGGTTGGGAGCGAATCCGTGGTTCTCCATCTCCTGCAACTTTACGAAGTAACGTAAGAGAACATAACACCATTTAGTATAGTCAGGAAAATGATGTAGTTCGATGTCACGTAAGATAACATAACACCATTTAGAAACAGTGTAGTTCAAAATCACCCAATATTATGCGGTATGCTTAAATCGCATCAGCAGAGGCGTCGTTGTGCAAGAGAGTCCTTGATCCAGTGCGTGGCCTGCAAAAGCGAAGGTTCCCGAAATTCGTGTCTTCGGCTTGTACGGCTTCAGACTGGCTACGTCCACGTCTTCCGGGTTTCGTTCTGATCAAGCCGAGTGCTACTGCCTAACTTAGACGAAAAGAATAGCTGCCCTCTTACACAGCTCAAGCTACTAATAAAGCAAAAACGAGAACCAAGACGATGCTAAAGCAAAGCATTGCGGTCCTACCCAAGGAAAGGATACGAAGATCTGTCAACGAAACAACAACACTCCATGGTGAGGCCCGCCGACTTCTCCAAAACGGTTTACTTGCGGCAGCTGGAGTTGGAGCCAAGAGCTTGGATTGCGATGTTTGTGAGGGTGCTTTTCGCAGCCATAGAACCCTTAAGGCTTCAAACCCTCAGGCCCGGTACCCGGAAAAGCACGATGGGGATTTTTTGTCAAAATAGCACGCCAGCACGCGCATGATTCCAATAGCACGTCAAGGCTCTCATGTCAGGCTCAAAGTCTTAGGGTTTGCGGGTTACTTGGAGGCTCATGGGTAGTTATACATGGGGCAAAAAGTCCCCTAATAGGGGTTATAACCATAGTTACCCAATAATAACCCCACTTATGACTACCCATCCTCCAAGTAAGGTTTGGGAGTTAGAGTTTAGGATTTAGGGTTGCAGGTTCAGCCCAACCCTGCCATTGCCGTTCCTAATTTGACATCGTGTGCCTCGAATCTGCGGTGCGAAAGTACGATGCCGACGAATCCGTGACAACAGAAGGGAAGGCACGAAGCCAAGAAACCGGGACCGAGACGATACCAAAATGCATGGAACATGATCGAAATGGATGAGCCTGGCAGGTGCCAGAAAAACGGGAGAACATGTTAAAACCTGATAACAGAAGCCTCGGCTGTGAGGGGAACACACTGCATCGCGCAGAACAACATGTCAATGATCAGCTTGCGAAGCTCCGGCTTAAGGGCCTTCTCAATTTCTCCGGCTTTGGCGCAGGAGTTGATGATCGTGCTGAAAGTGATCCGGTCCTGCACCGCGACGACATTTGACTTCGAAACCCTAAACCCTGAACCCGACCCCTAAACCCTCAACCCTAAGCCCTACCTTAACCCTGAAGAACCTAACTTTTTAAGGACTTATATAAGGAAATCATAATAGGGAACCCTAAAAAGGTAGGTTATTCAGGGTTAAGGTAAACCCTAAGCAACTTTGTACCGAGGCACCGGACGAAAGCCTTGTGATGTCATCTGCCTCGGTGGGTGCTGCACTGCACACACCACGTAGGTCTTAATTAGACGGACTCTCCGGCATTTTCCCTCCCAGTACCAATAGATTTATTTCTTACCCTGACTCCCCAAACCCCAAACCCAAAAAACGCGAAACCTACAAACTTGCTGAAAAACCTTCACAGCTCCTTTCCTGACCCGCTGAAGCCTATACCCTAAACATTCTAAACCTCTAAACCCCTAAATCCCTAAACACCAAAACCCCTACACCCTGGTCCCTCAAACTTCTAAACTATATAGTCCCCTTCGACAGCTGAAGCCAAGGTACGCATACCAAAGCTCGGCACGCTCCGGATTGCCGTTTCGACCACAGGCGTGCATGAGACCTTTCTTTGAGTTGTTGAGGGTCTTAGGTGCTTTTGAAGCGTGCTTGAGGGTTTCGGGCCATGGGTTCTAAGGGCTAGAGGTAGCGAGGGTCTAGGGCACGGGGCCTGTAGGGCGGGCTTGAGGATAGGGTCTTTACGGTTGAGGGACTGTTGAGGGCATCGTGGCGTTGAAGGATTCAGAGGGTTTGAGAGTTTAGGGGTTTAGGGGTTGAGAGTTCAACTACTTTTAAGCTTTCTGAGGACGGCGCTGTTGTACGTCTTATCATCAGGCTTCAAGCCGGCCTGGCGTCAGTCAAGGCGACAGGCAGTTGGGCGTGTGGTGAGGGGGCACGTAAGATGATATAGTAAAATACACGTCTCATTATACTAGAACAGTACTAGAATCCCTCTCGCTCCTGCCGAAACTGTGCGGTAAAACTGGCTAACTCTCATCCAGAAAGCGCCCAGTACTATATTAAACTTCCATAGTTTGGTAGTATGATACACTACTATAATGGCACTATAATATACTACGAGAATAGAACTATACTTTACCATATGACAGTAATAAGTAATAACTAGACTAGACCATATGCTCTCTCGAGGGGGCAACTCCTGTCCTGCAACATGCGCCCGAGCCAGTGGTCGGCGCTTTCAATGTCTCCGGCTTTGGCACCTGAGAAGACTTTCCAGGGTTCAGGGTTAAGTTTTTTTGGGGGGCCTCCTTCTATTCCGAAACAGGGTTCAGGTTTCAGGGCTAGGGGTTTAGGCGAAAAAACCCTGAAGCCATGGAGCAAAAAACAAAGCAAACTCCAGAGCTCCGGGCACGCGTTGATCATGCTGTTGAAGACCACCGAGTCCGCGACCTCAACAGGGCGGTTCTGAACCCCAGCTTCGCCTGAGGAGGGGACCGGCCGAGCCTCCCCGGATTCCTGCGCACGCAGATGTGCTCAAAGGGTGTAGGGGTTTAGGGCTGAGGGTGAAAATATTGTGGTAACTATAGTAACTATTTTTTCAAAAGATTTTAAGTAAGTAGTATTCTAATACTATTAAATGATACCTTACGGAAATTTAAATGGTCACGTCAGGTCCGCTCCGGTAAACCGACACGGCATCTGCCTCAATGCGGTAGAACCACCTCTCCGCCGACTTCAGATCCTTGGGGTGGGTGAACGGGGGGATGTCTCGGGTCCCCACATGGGTAGCTGTCAGAATTTAGGGGTACCTTATTTTGGGGTCCTTATAATAAGGATCCTACTATTCAGGGTACTATATATGTGGGTAGCGGTCAAAATTAGGGTCCCTTTTTTGGGCACCCTAAATATTAGGTGCCGTACTCTATTGAGGACCCAGAAAGGGACCATCACTTTGACAACCACCCACATGGCCTTCTCCGGCCGCTGCAACACAGAACAATTCAGACAAGATTCTCCGACTTTGGCGAAGGCACTGATGACGGCCGTGAAGGACACAGTGCAGGGCTTGATGCCTCGGTGAGAGCAGTCTCTACAGTGAGGTGCTTGCTGCTTTCCCTTTCCGCTGGCCTTGCTCGATCATGCGCAGCATCCACTTCTCTGCGGCAGCTGCATCGCGGGTCTGCGGCCAGTGCAGGAATCGAACGCGCTGGACCATGAAGAAGCTGAGATCAAACTAACCGCGAACCGCTAACAGCTGACCTACCTACACACTCACCCATCCCCACCCTGGCCGTCACACCGACATGGGGAGTTCAAGGGAATCGCAGCTTTCCTTCGGTCACCCTCGCTCGTTTGTTCTCTCGCCTTGGCACACGAGCTGATAAGGATGTTGTAGGTGATCCGGTTGGGCTTGATGCCGCTGACGGCCATGACGTCCCACCTTGGAGACTCCAAGGCTCTGAGAAAACCGCCTCTCTGTCTTGGAGGCTTAGGGCCCTGGGACTACGGCCATGCGCGCGCCTGCTCCAAATCACCTCAATACAGGCACTCTCTGGCTTTGGCCACGACAACAGGACCTCTTGGTCACGAGCCATTCTTGATGCACGATCCAATCATGCAATTGAAGGTGACCACCTGAAAATGCTGGACTTCGCCAGGCTGCGCCGATTCGCCCTATGTGAAAATGGGGATGCTTGAAACCCTAAACCCTAAACCCCTAAACCCTAAACATATGCAATGCCGGGGACCCAACGTTTGCTTTGTAGCCAGATTTCTCCATGCGAGTGGCAAACCAGCGGGCTGCCTCTTTGGATGGTCTGCGAAGCCCTAGGACTTCACCCGATATGCTGCGACTGCAACACGGCCAGTAGCTGGGCCTCGGGTTTGTTGAGCTTTGTTTGGCAAGCATGGATGATCCAGTGGTAGAATGCCTGCATATCAAGGAGAGGTTGGACAACTCCCGCGTCCGGCCGACGGCGTCCCGCCTTTGTGACCATCGGCTTGTTGGCATCCTGCTCTATTCTCAATTCTCAAGCTCTACCCCTCAAAAAAAATCCGCCATAACTCAGCAGGAAGCTTGAAGAGCGGGCCGGAAGATGTGAGGCAATGTGAGGCACCCGTTCCTGCTGCAGGAAGGCCTCGACTTCATCCATCTTGCCCTTGGTTACGAGCTCTATGACCTCAGGAAGCTGCCCTTCTTCTGCGGACACCGAAGAGAAGATGGAAGAAGGTCGAGACAAGGCGAGATCTTGAGGGTCGTGCAGGAGCTGCAACTTGCTCCATGCTGTCCTGAATCTATGTTCCTTATGTCTCCACCCCTGTTCGTCTCAGGCAGCAGTAGACTTGATCGCTACATTTGTGCGTGTCACAGCGTCCTCTTTGGATGGAGCACGTGTCCGATCCTCAGCAGTGAGCTCAGGGACAAAGCCCATGAGGCACGAGGTGGGCCATCGTGAGGCAGCTGCATGACGGTTCCCCACGCGCCTTTGTGGCTGGCGGGCTTGCGCCTCGTAGTGCACAGAGCTCAGAGCTCACAAGCAGGGCAAGTCGTGTTTGCGTAAACCAGCCTTCTGGTTCGCAGAAGCAGAAGGTCCTTCTCAAGGCTTCGAAACCACAACTCTCGTGGCAGACCGGAAGTGCGAGGTAGGAGCATTTCTGGTTGCAGCTTTGGTCAGCTTTTGGCCCTTTCGGCTTCCCAAGTTGCGCACCTGCAGTTAAACGACAGTCCAACCCCTCCAGCCTAGGCTTGAGCCTGGGTGTCCTGCTTCCTGATGCTACTTCATGCAGCAAGCCACCTGAATTTGCAGCATTTGGCCGCAGCTCAAAAGTAAGGGCAAGGGCGATGCACCAAATTCTCACCATGTATGGCGATATGGCCACAGCTGCCACGGGATCACGCCAATCACTTGAACTGTATTCAATATTCGACGGAGGCAGCCGTGGCCCTGTTCTCGACCAGGTGCAACTTTTGAAACTCAAACCCCAGCAGATTCACTGCAGGTTCATAAAGCGCAACGGTGGCATGTTCCCGCAAGAGTTTAGCAAGCAACACAAACAGCACAAAGGCTTGAGCAGCCCCACCGAGCTGCGCCCAGCCTGAGCAAGCAAAACAAACAGCACAAAGGTTCCAGCAGCTCTAACGAGCTGTGCCCATTCACGGGCCTTGGAACACGCGAGAAGCCCTGCCTTCCGTCACGTGGCCAGAGCTACACAAGTTACACAAGCTTCCAGGTCTGTACATTGGAGTGGCCAGATGGAGTGCATGTGGAGGAGCTGTAGCATCGGTAACCCGCATCCTTCCAAACGCTGATGAACATGGTCGCCGAATTCTTCTTTCGGCACAGCGTCCACGCTCTTTCCTTCCACGCGGCAAACATGTCGGTGTCGAAGCCTTGCTCACCGACGGTGCTGCTGGCAAGCTCCCAGGCCTTCGACTGATAAGTCTCGCCCTCAGTGCAATGCCCTTGGCCATGGAATCCCATGGGTTTGATCAGCCTGTACACGCTGTTGGAAGCGTCCTGTCCTGTCGTCCCTGCCTCGGGACAAAGATCGAGCGCACATTGGCAATTGCCGCCGCCGCCACTGCCATAGTCATGAAAGTGAAAGTACTTCCCGTGGCAGTGTTGGTTCTTAGCTGCTGCCACTGCGCACGCATCAAGATTGGGGATTCCATGAGCTGGGTTGCCCAGCCACCACCGCTTTTGGCAGTATGCGCCGCTAACCGCGAGTTTATAGTGCGTTCTGGCGCAGAAGACCAACTCATCCTTATACGTGTGTGTCGGTTCGGCTTTATCGTAGAGCGTGCACACCTTGGCATGATCCTTCGCAGTGGGCGGGGCGTAGTTGAAGCTGAGGCAGTCATTGTGGGCGTCGCAGCGATCTTTGCACTCTTTGATCGTGTTCACTTCCGCCCTTCCATCACAACCTTCCAGCCCGCACCCGTCAATGTCTGCGCCAAGGTAGCCCCGCTGCGAATAGCCAGCCGGGCAGGCAACCGACTCACCCAGTAGCACCAAGGCCTTGTGCCGGGCCGCTTGAAACTTGCCCCTCAGCGGCTGTTTGACGCTGTCAATGGCGTTGTTGAAGAAGTTCCTCACCGCGTGGTTGTTGCAGCACAAATTCCTTGCGTCGCAGCCATCGTAGTTGCCATCAATTGTGCAAACGCCCCAAACGGTCTTCTCGTCAAGATTGGTGACCTTGTTGCTGTCTTTGACCTGGAACTTGCAAGAGTAGCAGCGCCACGGTCCCCACTCGTGCATGTTGTGGCGACGCCTGCCGTTGGGAGCATTGAAGCGCGTGATGACGACTTTGTCAGCTTTCGACTTGTGCTGCCCCCAATCTTGGTAGGCACCTTCTTGCCACGCGGCCTTAAGCCGCCTGAAGGCGTCCACCTTCTCTTTCATGTGTTGCTGCCTGCGGCGCGTATACTCCATATGGCTGTCCAGACAGACCATGTCCTTGTCGTCGCGTTGGCTCTCGACGGAGTGGATCTGGCCCAAGCGATGCCCTAGGGCGTTGTCCACCATCCAGCGAGTCGTCTCCTTCGCGCGCTTAAGGGTGGTCCCACGGATTAGTGACTGCACTGATTTGCAGTCATTTTGATCGTGTGTCGGGAGTGCATCGCAATCCAGGAGCTGGACTTGCAGCATAGCGGGGACGAAGAAGTAGATGAAGGCCACGGTGACCTCAAAGCCACCTCTGGACGGGCAGAGGGGTGTCAAATCAAATCAAGCACCCATCCCGGGCAACGCCGCTCTGAAATGCTCTGAGGGCCCTCGGCTACAGGCTACAGGGCTGCCTTCCGCCCAAACAGGTACTGCTCAAACCCACCGAAGTCCCTGCTACCCGTTCTCCCTGTCCGACCTTGCTGCAACCACTTCTCGCAGTCTTCTTTGTAATCATTGTCCTGCCTGCAGAGCGTACGCCGATCCCGACGGGCGTACGGGCGGACCAAGCACAGGGAAGGGGGGGTGTTCGATAAACAGATGGGTAGATAGTTAAGTAGTTCGTGTCTGACGGGCGGAAACCTCTAATCTCCAAGTCGGGGTACCTGACGGGCGGAGGTTGCTGACGCGCGGAGGGCGGGTAGAGTTGCTCGGAACCCCAGCGGAGGTTGCTGACGCGCGGAGGGCGGGTAGGAGGGGACGGGCGTATGGGCGGGCCCGAGCACAGGCGGAGGGGGGGGGTTGGATAGAAGTCGGGGAACCTTACAGACAGAGGTTGCTGACGACGAGACGACGACTACTGCTACTACTACGACTACGACTACGACTACGACTACGACGACTACTACTACTGCTGCTACTACTACTATCTACTACTACTACTACTCCTGATGCTACTACTACGACTGCTACTGCTACTGCTACTACTGCTACTACTACTACTACTACTACTACTACGACTACTACTACTACTACTACTACTACTACTACTACTACTACTACTACTACTACTACTACTACTACTACTACTACTACTACTACTACTACTACTACTACTACTACTACTACTACTACTACTACTACTACTAGGCTCCATTCACTTCGTTTGCCGCGCACATGGCGCGGCAAACGGGTTTGCATCGGTGTGTTTCATTGCAACAGGCAGAGTGCGATTATGCGAAACTGTGTTTTCGCTTGGGTTTTAAGCTCATTCTGGAGCTGTGCACGAAAGTGCATGCAAGTTTGAACGCTTCATTTGCATTCGAAGACAGGACGATTTGGGCGTCCTTCTTTTTATGTTTTTTGTTTGGAAATTCGCAAAAACATTGAGTTTTTGCTGTTCCGTTCTCTGGCAAATGCATCTTTTTACGGCGGCAGCAGCCACGACGTGTCTTGGAACGCCGTGTTCGGGCGCAAGCCTGTCTTCCACATCATCCAGATGTCTCATCGGACTGAGAGGCAGAGGACTCGGTGGGTTTCCTGCAGTTCTTGAAAGGAAGCATCCCACAAGTCACGGAGAGCTGGATCGGAAGAAGGCCAGCCACCATGAAACCAAAAGGTTGCTCAACGCTTCCCAAAATGTGGGAGTGCATACCCCAGCACCGAAAGGCATGGCTGCACTGGAGCTCTCTCAACCCAGAAGCCCAGCCAGGCTGCCAAAAGAGACCGTCAAGCTCTAACCTCATGTGTGGATGATGTGAGTACCGGAACGTAAACGATGAGCATGCCGTGTTGATGCAGAGGATGACGATGAATTTGACCAAGTGGACGTCATTAAGCCCCCCCCCACCCCGAAAGCCACCCCTAAAGTGCGGCAAACGAGGGTGATGGACCCTACTACTACTACTCCTACTCCTACTCCTACTCCTACTACTACTACTACTACTACTACTACTACTACTACTACTACTCCTGCTGCTAGTACTACTACTGCTGTACTACTACTACTACTACTACTACTACTACTACTACTACTACTACTACTATTACTACTACTACTACTACTACTACTACTACTACTACTACTACTACTACTACTACTACTACTACTACTACTACTACTACTACTACTACTACTACTACTACTACTACTACTACTACTACTACTACTACTACTACTACTACTACTACTACTACTACTACTACTACTACTACTACTACTACTACTACTACTACTACTACGACTACTACTACTACTACTACTACTACTACTACTACTACTACTACTACTACTACTACTACTGCTACTGCTACTGCTACTGCTACTGCTACTGCTACTGCTACTGCTACTGCTACTGCTACTGCTACTGCTACTGCTACTGCTACTGCTACTGCTACTGCTACTGCTACTGCTACTACTACCACTACTACCACTACTACCACTACTACTACCACTACTACTACTACTACGACGACGACTACTACAACTACTATGCGAGCGGGCTCAGCACTTTGCGGGCGATTGCCGCATGTGCACTCACGTTTGTGTGAAACTGACCCTGTGACCCTGTTGGTTTGAGAAACCGAAAGAAAGTTGGCTAATGCCAGCTGGCGCTGTGCATTGCTAGCCGCATGAGCCTCAGTCGGCCAAGTGCGTTGTACGCTGGGCCACCATCAGCTCCGTGCGAGCAGTGAACAGCACTGTACCCGGAGTGTAGTAGGGCAGATGACACTTGTGGTTGCAACAGAAACACAGGAGCTATCGCGAGAGCATTTCTTTTGCAGACATTGTGGCATCGGCAAGTGTGCAAGAAAGCCATCAATGCCGGCTTGGGCAGGAAGAAAAAGCGGTGTGGTAGGCAGTGCCTCCGCGGTCCGTCGTGCTGGCAGCCATTGGAACCGTGAAAAGAGATTGCTATTCACTGGCGCCATTGACGGCTGCCACTGGGGCCTGGACCCGAGCCTTGCTGCCACCAGTTCTCTTCAGACCATTGTTGGTCTGGCCACTGATCTCCTTCACGATGGCGTTTGTCCGTCTGAGTGGACGGAGCATCACCTTGTCGTTTGTCGCGCTGCTCTTTCTGCCGATGCCAGATAAAGGCCGGCGTGTCTCTTTGTTGTGCTCGATGCGCAGCTTGCGTTGTACCCGATCCATCCTTAGGCTGGTATGAGATGGCGCGATTCAGGCCGCCGCACTTTCGACTGCTCTGATCGTAGATGCATTTGACCGTCGAGGCCACAATCTCGAAGTTGCCATCGGTTTCCAAGATGTCGATCATCTCCGGCCTGTCCCACATGTTCTGGCAGAGGGAGTGAATGATGCCATAGTAGACGGTGAGTGCCCTAAGCTCCACGTAGCGGTCGGCTTCCCCTATGGACAGCGTAAACTGGCCGGTGGCCCCGATGACAAGTTTAGCGGCCGTGACATCGGGCCGTGTGGCGTCCTTGTCCGTGGCGGTCAGCTTGATGAGAGCGAAGATCCAAGGAACCCTGCTGAGTACGGCAATTCGACTGCTCCACATAATAACCTGCTCGGATGCGGTGAGTCCACCCATATAATGGCCGGCTCCTTCATGATTGAGATCGTGGCCAAGGAGTGGAGACACTCCAGCATGTGATCTGACTGACAGATCTGTATAACTTGGTCGAGTTTGGGGAGGGCTGGCCTCCTGCTCCGGGGAAGGGTTCTCGCTGTAGTTGAGGAGCGTGGTGATGTTGACTGGACCCTGGTACTTGACCGCTGCTCTTGACACGGCGCATTGACCCGTTCAGATGCTGGGATTCCGGGTCTGGCTCCGGGGCAGGATGAGCCTTTGAGCTTGTGGCGGGTCTGTGGCTTGGGGCATGGCCATGTCTTGTGAAGCCACTGGTGCGGTATGGTCTTGGAGAGCCTGGTGGGGGGAGGGCTGCGAACTAGTACTCCTCCTCCTCCTACAACTACTACGACAACTACTACTACTACGACAACAACTACTACTACTACTACTACTACTACTACTACTACTCCTGCTGCTACTACTACTACTACTACTATTACTACTACTACTACTACTACTACTACTACTACTACTACTACTACTACTACGGGCGGATGTTGCTACCCGCGAAGGGGCGGTAGCTGACGGGCGCAGGTTGCTGACGCGAGGAGGGTGGGTACCTGACGGGCGGAGTTGCTGACGGGCGCAGGGAGGGAGGAAGGTGGGGGGTAGATAGATAAATAGTTAGCATGTGACGGGCGGAAATGCGAAGGGGCGGCGGCTGACGGGGGCAGGTTGCTGATGCGCGGCGGGTGGGTAGCTGACGGGCGGATGTTGCTGACGGGAGGGTGGGTAGCTGACGGGCGGGGGTGCTGACGCGCGGAGGGTTGCTGGTTGCCGACGGGCGGCGCGTGGGTAGCTGATGGGCGGATTGCTGACGGGCGCATAACGGGTAGTACAGCTGACGGGCAGAGGTTGCTGATGGGCGGCGGAGGGTGGGTAGCTGACGGGCGGAGGTTGCTGACCGGCGGAGGGTGGGTAGCTGACGGGCGCAGGTTGCTGATGCGCGGCGGGTGGGTAGCTGACGCGCGGAGGGTGGGTAGCTGACGGGCGGAGGTAGCTGACGGGCGGAGACCTCTAACCCGTGGGTACCTGACGGAGATAGATAGTATCCGACGGGCGGAAATCTAACCTCTACCTAGTAGGTATGCGAAGGAGGTTAGAGTAAGGGGTTGTGCAAGGTACATGATGCCTGCCTGGAGGTTGTGTCCCACAGCTGCCTCTGATAGCGATCGCAATGCCCGAAGGCGTCCGAGTACTCCGACTCCAGCAGAAAATCCATCTTGCTAATGATCCAGCCAGGATCCTAAGTAGGAGTGTCTTGGGAACCCGAGCAACCCAGAAGCGGATAATGAATGCTGTTCAGAGTGTGGAAACTATTTGCATGTTCTGGTTGCATCCATGCATCATTGCTGCTGCGGAGGTGGGTGTCGTACTTGTCCATCAGCTTCTTCATCGTTTTAACTTGCTCTTTGAAGGCGTCGCTAGCAATCAACCTTTTGGTATCCTCCTGCACCGTAACCTGGAATTTCTCCAGCATCTTCTTGACGTCGTCCTCAGTCATAAAGGGAGGCGGTGGCGTGGAGCCCAGGACGAGATCCTTGAAAATGGTGATGCCGATGTCGACGAACGGCCCCACAAAAGGGGCTTTCGCGCTGATCGCGGCAACCCCCAGATCCAAAACGGTGGACAAAGCGGACTTGGCAAGCTTCTCACCAGAGTCCCCTTTGATGGCACCCACGACCAGGCTGCCAATGCCACCTGCAGCGACGTCCATCGCATCACCTGCCTTGATCTCCTCCCAAACCCTCTTGTCCCTGGCCGTCTGCTCGTCATCGTCCGGTGAGTTCGCTGGGCCGGATCGGTTATGGAGCGCTTGGAGCAGGTTGCTGGGATCGCTGTCAAAGTTGCAGCTGGCGTCGGCCGCGGACGCGCCCGCACATGCAGCTGATGCATCTGGCAAGATGACAAGAAGCCCACACAAGGCGAGGCGCATCGCGCAGCGGCGCATGGCGTGCTCCAACTGAAGCTGTGAGCGTCTCAGTCTGGCGCTTCTGCGGCTTGGGCCCGAGCTGAAGACGAGGTACGGTAAAGAGATAGGAGCAGCAGCTTGAAACAAAAACAGCCAGAGAAGCAGGCAGAGCTGCTGGACTGCGACTGCTGCGCTACGAAGCGATTACCCTAAACCCTAAACCAAACGATTAAAGCAGCTTCCATGCGAATCCTGAAGGGTTCGTCATCAGCGAGCCTTAGCCCCCAGGGCGTCCGACGCGTGAATCACACGGTAGCCCCTTTCATAAGACTCTGGCGGAAGATGTCGTTCTGGAAAGAAGGAAAGCGGTTCCGTTTTTTGCTAGGCTAGGACGGAACTCTGTGAGCCAACGTCGCGGAAGTTGGCGGCTCAAAATCGCTATCAGTACCAACAGCAAGCTCAGCTGAGTTCTCGAGTATAGGGGCCTTAATAATGAGACTAGGGTTTTGGGGTATATGATGCTATAATTATCATAAGGAGCCCCAAAAATAGTATAGGTAATTACTAAGACCCCCCGCAAAAGTAGGTCTAGGTGCGTCTGCAAAACGTTCCCGAGGCCTTGCGATAGTCAGCGAACTTTGAGACGAGACCTGGACTGGCTGTCGCACTCGGCTGGCCATGTGGGCAGTTGTCAAAATTAGGGTCCCTTTTTGGGTACCCTAAATATTAGGTGCCGTATTATAACCGGTAGCCAAAAAGGGACCATAATTTTGACAACCACCCATGTGCACGGGAGGTCAGACGGTTGATGATATAAACCCTTCATTACCCATAATAAGGTATGTACCGTAATTCCCATAGGTTAGAGCCCTGAAGGTAATGCAGGATTTATATCATCAAGCGTAAGAATCACATTCGTGGCGACACGAGTCCTCTAGCTTCATCAGGGCTAAGGGCCCTTTTTGGGGTTCTTCTCGGATACTAGAAGCCCTGAGCCACGCAGAAGCCGGGCACGGGCCCGGCAGGACCTCCGAGCAACCATCCTAGTGCAGCTAAGAGTCGGATCAGCATTCGGTCCACCCATCGCAGCACATCCAGGGGATCCTGGCGAACTTCATAAACGAAGATGGCAAGCATCCCTCTTTTGGCCTGTAGACACTAAAGGCTCCACCCTTATCAACCCTGAACCCTAAGCCCAGGTAAACCCTAAACCCTCTAATTAGCCTGGAAGGTCTTGGCATCTTAGCAGTTATGAGACGTGCTGCAAGGAGGAATATTGCCAAAGCTACCAAGCATGAAACGAGGTATCATTTACTTTCCGATTGGTATGCGCCTGATTCAGTAGTCTACGGGGTAGGGATCCAGTTTGCAATCTGCCCCCCATCTTCTGGAACTTCCATATGCATCCAGTCTGAATGGTCCTCTGCCATAGTTTTCTTGTGTTGCAGTGCTCAGGATATTCTCATCATGCAAATGCTCTCCCTCGCTGGGCATCTTCAGAAGTAGTCACCCGTTTATTGAGAGACGCTAGAGCGTGCTGTTGCCCTGCCAGTTGCTTGTTTGCCAACCTCTTCTCTGAACTCAATTCCATACAACTTCCTTCTCTGGTCTTATCTTTACATTCTGACTGATTGATTGATTGATTGATTGATTGACTGACCATAACAAGAGATTCGTCATCAAGTGTTGCTTGCTCGTGTGTCTGCCGTGCTCGGGCTTGCATCTGCCAAGTCGGAAGTAAAACGGCTGGGTTCACGCTTGCAAGTAGCCCCTGCTTCTTTCGAGATGCGCCAAGGGATATGACCTAGGAAAGGTAGAATACTTCCTGGCTCATCCTGGGTCTCTGGGGTTTAGGGCCCGTTACCATGTCGATGCACGACTTTCCCCTTGGTCGGTGTGCAACTTCCGTTGCCGCCCACCTCATTCTCGCACTTGAAGACCGCATAGCGGGCCATCAGCACAGCCGCAGCCTCCTGGTCAAAGCCTGCCCAGGAAGCTTCAACTCCATGCCAGACCCGAAACCCAAAACGGCCCTCAACGGCTCTAAACCCTAAACCCAAAACCCCTAAACCCTAAACCCTAAACCCCTAAACCCTAAACCCTAAACCCCTAAACCCCTAAACTGGCCCAGACGGGCCCTAAAGGGCCCTAAAGGGCCCTAAGCCCTCCCTGCCTTGCTGGATGTCGCTCATCTGCGCATCCGTGAAGCGATGGGACCTCGGCGCAGAGCATCAGACCGGATTTCAAAAGAGACTTCTTGGGAGGGTTTAGGGTTTAGGGGTCTCTGGGTATTTTTGCCGTATATTGTGGCATACTACAGCATACTACTGCATACTGTGGTAAATTAAAGTATACTATAGAGTATACTACTGAATTTTTACGATATACGTACTAGATATACCATTGCATATGTTCGTAAATTATGGCTCATGGTGATGTGAAAAGAGACTCCTAGATTGGTGTATTTGTAGTGCACTGCAGTGCATTATAGCACATTCTTGAATATTGCAGTATGTTTTAGTATATTATAGTTGTCTTAAATTTGAAGTGTATTGGCTGCTTTCGGCTTCCGAGTCTCGGGCACAGTAGTTACCCTGAGGCGCTTCCTGCCCGAAGGATGCAAATAGCAAGTCTGAAACCTCGGCAATCCGAGACGGGACTTCGACTCCACACTTTTGCCACATCAAACGTCGAGTGTCCATCGCATAAGGCTGGAACTGCAAAAAGGCTTGCTTACCCGCAGCTGCGGTGGCCGCCTCAACACGTCACTTGGGTGACCCTTGACTAACCGCCAATGTTAGTGCCTGGGCAATGTCGAAGTAGAAACCAATAGTCGTGTTGCGATCAAGGGAGCCGGCAACCTGGAATAGCTCTGCGCAGACTCTGCAAAAGTCGTCCGCATGAGATGGGAAAGGTGGCACAAAACCGAGAGGGCGGCCCACTGGCAAGTGTTGCCTTCACCGATTTCAGTCTCCGCAACACAGGGCCCCTTCTTGCCGAGAGACCTCAGGGCAGCAAGGCCCGAAACTTTTCAGACGAGGTTGGTGACAGGTCCAAGTTCATGGCGATAAACCGCCAACTGCACCACAGCATTTGAATTCCCTGGAGGTGAAAACCTGGCAGTGCCAAAGCTCGGCTCAGGATGCATGCTTTCTACGAAAAAAATCGTGGGAAGGAGACGAGGAGGTTGCTTGAGAAGCACGCTTTTCCTTGAAGCTCTGGGCTCCTTCATGCAGGACTTTACCTGTTGTCTCGGTCGGGAACTATCAGCCTTGGAGGCTATCGGAGCCATCTTTGGGGAAGATTGCGATGGTTGGGACGGTGGTCGTGGAGCCTGCCGAACCAAAGACTTGGACGCCAGACTCAGGCGCCGAGGTTGACGTTTTCATCGATGGGAGCCCCAGTGCATCAGCGATCTCAGAGGCCATGACATCCACAACGTGTGCCATCTGCGGACTCTCGTCCTGGACGCCAAGCAAAATCACCTCACCGGCCAATGACACCACATTCGCCCTCACGTCCGAGCTGGCAATGGCAGTCCTCACTGCTGGGAGGAACTCTTCTGCTGCAATCCTTCCCAGCCGCTTTGGAGTCAGACTTCCAACTTCCGCTCGAGCCGTCGTCAGGAACTTCGATTTCGCCTTGCTGGCCAGGTCCAAGGAGACACCTGCCGCCTCTGCAGCTTTCTTCACTGCCTCACCGGACTTCGCCAGCACGCCCTCCGCCTCCTTTGTAGCAAAGCCTTGGCTCAGCTTCTTGGCCAAAGAGCTCTGGCTTTGGCCTTTCTGGCATCCGACCCAGTGACACTTCGTCTCTTCACCGGTGCTCCTATACTGAACTTAGAACCCTAGCAAAAATTATAATTTTAGCTGCTTCTTAGGGATTATAATAACCAAAAACCAAAAAAATACTTCTAAGTACCCCTAAGGCTCTCTGGCTGGCAGCGACCTCCATTTTCAGGCTCGGTCTCCTGCTGCCGACTTCGCTGGCTCACGCCTTCTTCCGCACATTGCTTCCCGCCGGAGCACTCGCTCCACTTGCTCCAAGAACTCCAGGCACAGTCGCGCGGCCCCCAGCCGCACCATCTCCGCCGCTGGTGGAGATTCCTTCCCGGCACGCCAAAGCTGTTTCTTCTCCTGCTTGCCGTGTCGGATACGAGCTTGTCAACATTGTTCTCCCCACACCAATGCAAGGAGTAGCACCTGCAGACATTCAGCTCACCTTCGGGTGCAGGTATTGAGTCAAACATTGCTGCTGTGCACGGTACGGAGCCATCAGCTCGAAGTTCTTCCCAGTTCGATGTAGGACGGCCATACCTGGGTCCCAGTATCGTGCAGTGTAATATATTACAGTGAATGTTTGTTCTTGTTTCTAGTATAGTAATATAGTCTAGTGTTGTGTAGTGTAGTATAGTACATCATATCAAAGCAGAACATAGCATAGCAGAGCGCAGCATAGCATGGCATAGCTTATCTTGTATCGTATACCGTACATGGTTTGTAGGTAGTCTATGGTAACCCTTGGTCATGTCGTATATAGTATAGTGTATCGCATAGTTGTCTGTACTCTCCTCTAGTATGTAATAGTATGTCACAGTACAACTATAGCAATACAGTACGAGCTAAACTCACCAAGATACATCACGACACCGTCACATTTGCACGTACCGCCCTCAACCGAGCACTCGACAAAGCTGCCAATGCCCGCACGGGCATCATCTGCTAGCTTCGTCTCCATGTCTGCCCTTGTTCCATGGGAGCCTATCGAGGCCAGATGTTCCTTCGAAGCCTGACCTTGCTGAAGCGAAGTTTCTTCAAGTCTCATCATTCTCGGGGCTTCTGCTATGCTTCCATCCGCACCGACATGTGCGTACACCGCGGCAGCAGATAGACTCGGCAGGCAGATGAGCAGGAGGACATTCAAGATCCACATTCTGGCCGTTCTCTGAGTGGCGGCCGTCACACTACGCAAAGAGGCTGGACCTGCAAAGGCCCTGACATTTGTATCAATCAGAAGAACTAGACGCCACGGCTTGAGCCGAGGAGGCTGTGTCGCTTGACCCTTCCACCAGACGGCAAGCTCACTTCTGAACCCTACTTGGAGGTTCATGGGTAGTTATAGATGGGGTTATAAGTCCCCCAATTTGCCAGTAGGTGCTATAACCATAGTTACCCTAAGTATAAGCCCACTTATAACTGGCCATGGGCCTCCAAGTAAAGCCGCAAGCCCTCACAAACTCAGGCTGTGGCCTCGATCTTCGCGTTGAAGCCAAGCTTCAGGTAGCCCGTCTCAGCAGATCCATAAACTAACCTAAGGGCCTTAACAAGTTCAATCGAGTTTGTTTTGGGGGGGGGGGGGGGGCATATTATACTATAGTTGTAATGAGGAGCCCCCAAAAGTAGTTTCGATAATTCTTCAGGCCCCTATATATTAGAGTGCCCTTAAAGTAACCCTTACAGGACCCTTTTAAAGGAACCCTACCTTCTTAGAGGGCCCTTAAAGTAACCCTTATAGGACCCTTTTTAAAGGAACCCTACTCTAGGTAACTATTTCAAGCCCCCTTTCAGTCGTCCCAAAACCCGAATAGCACAGGGAGGGCGCCTCGTCCGGCTCGAAGATCTTCCTAAAGGAGTCCTGGGGGGAAGGACATGCTGCGCTCTATTGTGTAGATACTAGATCATAATAGTAGAGTACTATGTAGTAGGCTCTACCTGTTCATACTAGGCTGCTAGGGCTTAGGGTTTAGGATTTTAGGGGTTTAGAGGGGGTTTAAGGGTTTAGGGTTCAGAGTCCTGAAGGGAACCTAGACCTTCCAAAATCCCTAAGGGTTCCTTGAAGGGTTCCTATAAGGGATCTAAAGGGTTTAGGGACCTAAAGGAATCCTGAAGGGAAGGGATAGGGTGCTCTTTTGTGTAAAGACGAGATCATAATAGTATACTAATATGCATTAGGTTATACTAGATCATACTAGTATGTATTATGATAGGTTATTAGAATACTAGATCATGATCGTATGTAATATGCGGTAGACTATGCTACATACTACATTCTGCTATGACCTATTATGTCTTGTGTACTATAAAAAAACCATATTATATACTAACACATAACATACTACTATGATGATGAATTAGTACGCTGTATGCTATGTTATGCACTATGAACCAGAGCTCCGGAACAGCAGCACCTATCTAACTCGGGTGCACCCCCGCAGGTCCTTGAAGACGTGCATGCTGAAGGAGTCGCTCATGACCTGCTACAGAAGACGACATGGGGCTACTGAGCCCACGCATCCTCACAAGAGAGGCCCGGACCATGTAGCCGCCAGTTTTGTCAGAGATGACTTTCATCTCGTAAAGGCCGACCTGCAGGATTTTGGGATCTGGAGGCTGCAATTTCTCAATCCAAGGAAATGCGGCACCTGGTCGAGAGAGCACGCAAAAATGTCGACGGCGAAGCCGCAAGCCACAGCCTCTGCGGAACACTTAGGATGCAACAGTGAGTTTGTTATATCCTTGGCACTGCTTATCGCGCTCGAGCTTCTGGCCCTTGAGGCAAGTGAAGCGTAGAATTTCAACGCCTTCTTCGTGTGCTTGGCCTTGCTGCGGCGCTGGTGGATCGGGACTCCCCAGAAGCCGAAAGCCAGTGACGGAAGCCCCGCATCACAGGATGCCGGACACTGTTCACTGCTTCGGTTAACTTTTTGGAGAATCCGAGACTGCAGCATTCGGCGTCTCCTTCTGAAGGTCTAAGTGGGATCTGATGGTCTCTGCGAGCTCCTTCACACGAGGCATGCAACTACCGTTCTGGGTTAGGGGTTTATGGTGTAGGCCTTTAGGGGTTTAGGCTGTAGGATTTTAGGGGTTTAGGATTTTATGGGTTTAGGGTTTTGGGTTCCACGGGATTGTAACTCTCTGGGCCTCGCCAACGACCATGCCGGGGCCAACGTTGCACGGACCGCCAACCAGCAGCGTCACGCGCACCTAGCTGCAGCCCGATGAACAGATCACCACAACCGAAGAACGAGCAGGAATCTGACAGTCTCTGAATCACTCTCTCCAAAGGAATATGAGTAGCTGCCAAAATTAGGGTCCCTTTTGGGGTACCCTAAATAGTAGGTGCCATATTATATTAAGGACCCAAAAAGGGACCATAATTTTGACAACCACCCAAAAGGGTCTTGGACCTCACGACATGCGGGGATCGACAGCTTTCTACGATACCGAGGGCATCGAAACACAGTGGAAGTACCCAAGGAAAAGCTCCTCTCGCTTGAACGCCTGCAGACTCAAAGAAGAGGCTGCGAAAAAGGGCTTCATTAATTAGAGTAGGGTTTTGGGGCCCTTCTATTATCGGTAATTATTCAGGCCCCTATATTAGTCAAACACACGAACCTCCACGCCCGGACACTGCGCAAGCCACAAGAACATCGTATGTGCTGGCAGCTGCAACTACAACCACGTGTCACCAAGTGGAGATTGCCGGCCAGAAAGTTGGCTTCTCCAGTTTTCTGGGGGAATCGTATGGAACATGCGTACGACGGGGAATGGGTTTTGCATCATCCCTGCCGGATCAACAACAGGGTCATGTGCTTATATACACCTTTCCTTTTCTACCGTAGCGCCCGACGCTCGCATATACACCCGTCTTACACCCCTTCTCTGGCATGCCGTCAGGCGGCTTGCAACATGAATCTTGTCACATAGCAACCCGATAGAGCCACAAACACGAGACATGGCAGAACCAGGAGCTGTGCAGAATTTACTCAGGCATGGCCAGTTGTTAGGTACCCTTCGTAAACGGACATGCACCAGGCGCAGGTGGCGCGCACAGCCCTCTTGCATTAAGGTTGGTCACATCCCAGCGATCCAGCCGTCGGAGGAATCATATGGGCTGCACCCTCATGCGAAAGGGAATCGTGCATGATTCTCCCTGACGGAGCACCCGTATTTTACAATACAGCAGCCGGCTGCCCCCACGCTGGGTCGTTCACATCTCAGCATCGAAATGAATCAGAGGATCCACACCTCATGTGAACCAATGGCGACAAGATCTGCATCCTCATGGAATTGGCAACTAAACAAAATCTCCAGCTCAGCCGTCGGAGGAATCAAAGGGCTGCACCCTCATGCGAAAGGGAATGGTTCATCATCCTCCCTGCCGGATCATGCTGATGCAACTCAAGGTCGTTCATATCTCAGCGATCGAAATGAATCAGAGGATCCACACCTCATGTGAACCAATGGCGATAAGATCTGCATCCTTGACCACCCCCCAGCTCACAACATGGAATTGGCAACTAAATAAAATCTCCAGCTCAGCCGTCGGAGGAATCAAAGGGCTGCACCCTCATGCGAAAGGGAATGGTTCATCATCCTCCCTGCCGGATCATGCTGATGCAACTCAAGGTCGTTCATATCTCAGCGATCGAAATGAATCAGAGGATCCACACCTCATGTGAACCAATGGCGACAAGATCTGCATCCTTGACCCCCCCAGCTCACAACATGGAATTGGCAACTCAATGGAATCTCCAGCTCGGCCGTCGGAGGAAACAAAGGGCTGCGCCCTCATGCGAAAGGGAATGGCTTATCATCCTCCCTGCCGGATCAACCACACAAAATACAGTACAATGAAGCAGCAGCCTGCCCCGACGCTAGGTCGTTCACATCTCAGCATCGAAATGAATCAGAGGATCCACACCTCATGTGAACCAATGGCGATAAGATCTGCATCCTTGACCACCCCCCAGCTCACAACATGGAATTGGCAACTAAATAAAATCTCCAGCTCAGCCGTCGGAGGAATCAAAGGGCTGCACCCTCATGCGAAAGGGAATGGTTCATCATCCTCCCTGCCGGATCATGCTGATGCAACTCAAGGTCGTTCATATCTCAGCGATCGAAATGAATCAGAGGATCCACACCTCATGTGAACCAATGGCGATAAGATCTGCATCCTTGACCACCCCCCAGCTCACAACATGGAATTGGCAACTAAATAAAATCTCCAGCTCAGCCGTCGGAGGAATCAAAGGGCTGCACCCTCATGCGAAAGGGAATGGTTTATCATCCTCCCTGCCGGATCATCCACACAAAATACAGTACAATACAGCAGCCACCTGCCCCGCGCTGATACAACTCAATGTCGTTTATACCAACGATCGAAATGAATCAGAGGATCCACACCTCATGTGAACCAATGGCGACAAGATCTGCTTCCATGACCCCCCCCCAGCTCACAACATGGAATTGCCAACTCAATGGAATCTCCAGCTCAGCCGTCGGAGGAATCAAAGGGCTGTACCCTCATGCGAAAGGGAATGGTTCATCATCCTCCCTGCCGGATCATGCTGATGCAACTCAAGGTCGTTCATATCTCAGCGATCGAAATGAATCAGAGGATCCACACCTCATGTGAACCAATGGCGATAAGATCTGCATCCTTGACCCCCCCAGCTCACAACATGGAATTGGCAACTAAATAAAATCTCCAGCTCAGCCGTCGGAGGAATCAAAGGGCTGCACCCTCATGCGAAAGGGAATGGTTCATCATCCTCCCTGCCGGATCATGCTGATGCAACTCAAGGTCGTTCATATCTCAGCGATCGACATGAATCAGAGGATCCACACCTCATGTGAACCAATGGCGACAAGATCTGCATCCTTGACCCCCCCCCGGGTTCACAACATGGAATTGGCAACTCAATGGAGTCTCCAGCTCAGCCGTCGGAGGAATCAAAGGGCTGCACCCTCATGCGAAAGGGAATGATTCATCAACCTCCCTGCCGGATCATCCACTCAAACAGCAGTACAGGTACCTCCACCTACTGTTCAATTCGAGTCATGCTCGGTGACGTCTTAGCGATCGAAGTGGATCAGCGGATACTGTGACGAGGCGTCCGTACGATGGCAAACCACTGACATCGTATGCGAACCCAAGGCGACAGGATGCACGTCACAACAGGTAGGCGAAGCTGACACGTCTTGAATCCTGGTACCACCAGCGATTCTGCACGGCCATAGTACTCATTGCCTCTGCCTCGACTTAGCCCTTTCATGTATCGTTTGCAGGTGGGGAGAAGACTTATTCCCAGCTGTGGCAGCCATACGTGTGTGGACAGGTTTCAAGGGCGCTTATCAACGGTGTTGCATGTCAGCACAAGGGCTGCCGGGAAGTTGGTGAGCAACTACACGAGGAAGTGCAAGCGAATGAATATGAGGGAACCATGAACATGCAAGTCAAAGCAATCGCTGCTTGAACATGACTGGAGCATGCCCTAGCTTCCTGTAGCTACCACGCGTGTGTGTCAATAAATCTACGGCTACAGCATACAAGATGTTCGACAACAGCCGGCAAGTCGAATCTCTCAGACCGCAACTCGAACTGAGACCCGGGCACTGCCTTGTGGGCACGTAGCTTCCACCAAACCGAGTGCTACGCTCAAGGCTGCTCCTGTGCACCTGGTTCATCATGGCCCAATGAGTTCGCATTGCAGAAGGCGTGCCCGAACGCCATTGCCCGTTGCAGCCTGTAAGGTCGTCGATCGTGGCCACCAAGCGGCCATGCATCTCTAGAAAGGTCGTCAAGCAGGGAGTTCAGAGTGAACCTGGTTTCTTAAGAGAGCGCTTTCAACCACTCAACTTCGGGCGAGTCTGAGGTGCACGCTCACAGTCCGCAACTGGCAACAAGAATCTCCTCCCAAACCGAACAACATGAGGCCCGCTCTCCGTAAGTGCCAACGCACTTCAAGAGGGCCTTGCTGCTTGGGCACCCATGGTCCCTCTGGGATCATTCTTCAACGCGAAGCCCAACTGATAGGCCACCTGTGCGCATGGAACAAGCCCTATGTGGGAGTTTCCGAAAATTGGGGGTACCTCATTTTGGGGTCCTTATAATAAGGATCCTACCATTTAGGGTACTATATTTGGGTCTCTTATTTGCGGAAACACCCATGTTCTTGATGAGATTGTGGTTGGCGTGATAGAACGGCTTGCCTAGAACTTGAGAACAGTGCACCCTGTGGACTAACTAGGCCTTTGGTTGATGACCGTGAACGCTGCAGCAAAAACACTAGTAGTGTTCTTAAACAAGGACCTTTTCCTAGATGCTGGGATCTTTCTTGTTGCAAACCCGACGAGATCAAAGGATGACCCATTAGGCGACAGGGAGCACGAGCATTCCGTCCTTTCATCCGAATGCAAACTTCCGATCTTGGAGCCTCTCTGAAAAGCTTCTGGCACCGCCGTCTGTGTGAGGTCTACAAGGGGACTCGAGACCCTCGACCTAAACCGAAACCACTAGCCCTGAAGCGATTTGGAGAGGGCCGGGGCCTGCTGCGCAGTGTATTCTTTTCCACCGCGGAAGGCATAAGCCTGCAACATGCACTCAATCGCAGGGCGATCTGAGGCAGCAGACCCTCACCTTGGGCAGCGTAGTGGAGGCCAGTTCGTGGACGTAGCACCTGAGTGAATTGCCTAGTATCTCCAAGGAGATACCAAGAACTACGAAAAGCAGCTGCATGCAAACCGCCCGCTGGGAGGCCAGTCATAGCACCGAAGGTAATAAAGCCGACCAAAGCGTTTTGCGGCATCATGGCCAGCGACTGCTGGAGAGAGTCCTGAAAACAGTTGTGGATGTTGCAGATGTGGCCATGGAATTGTACCAGCCGAGGTCTACTCCTACTCCTGCTCCTACTCCCACTCTCCAAAAAAGAACATAAGCAAAAATTAGGATAGGGATATCCCATGTATACCCCCGTATAAGGTCCCGAAAAGTCTGTCCTTTGCTTGGTCAAGCTCTTCTTCGATGAGCGCAGTGTCCAAGACTAGCAAGAAAACTGGCCTCACAGAAGCTCTTTAGGGCAGAATGAAACTTCGGCTGTATACTAGTATGCTATGGTATATTATATTATAGTATTATAGTACATTATAGTATATTATAGTATATTATAGTATACTCTAGTATATTCTAGTACATTATAGTATATCATAGTACATTATAGTGTATTATTATAGAACATTATGATAGTATAGTGTTATAGTATCTTAGTATAGTATATTAGTATAGTATATCATATTTATAGTATCTTACAGTACATTATAGTATCTTGTGAAGTATTCTTCTGCCGAGTTGCGGCTGGCAGGCGACCGATGGAATAATGTACTCGATGGTAGAGCACCTTGACTTTGATCCGGAGCCCCTTGACTGCCCCCAGCGAAGAGAAGTCCCAGAGACTCCAGTACCCCTTAATTAGGGAATATTCCTTAAATCAGATTAGGGATCCTCCTATAATTTAAGGTATATTCCTTAATTAAGGGATATTGGAGTCTCTAGGGTGTTGCCGGATCGGGGCGGCGGCATCTGAAGGAGCTCTGCCGGCAGATTCGTCTCCGTTATGTGATCTGCATAGTGCCTGGTATGTGTACACTGCATTGGCGCACGATGGCATGCTGAGGAACCAGCTACGAAGATCTGCTAAGCAAGGCTCTGAGGAAAACGATTTCGAGTGTGGCAAAATGGGCACGTCCAACCTGGTCAAGGAAGTCGAAGCGTCGAAGAACAGGGAGAATAACATAGGACAGGCTTTAGCTGTAACGCTGGGGAGCAGACTCTTGGAGTGGAAGTCCACATAACAAAAAGGATTCAGTACAGCTCCGCAGTCTCGTCCCTGGTCGCACAGCTTGACTGCTTCAGAGAGCATGTGCGACAAAACGGCACATCCCACGGCAAACTTGCTGATAGGTTTGACGAGCATGCAAAAAATGCGAAATCGGAAAAACTGATGCACAAAGCTTCGCCAAAGCAGAGCCCAAAACAAGCTATGAGAACAGCCTCCGAATCTTTTGCTTGAGGCTGCTCTTCGCACAAAATGCCTACGTGCGAGTGCTTGAAAGCAAACCCACGCAGGAGGTACGTATCTGCACGCACTGTTGAAACGATGTTGATGCTAGTGCGCGCCCCGCTCTCGTGTCATTCCATAGGTGCGGGGATCCGGTGAGAGTTGAAAGCGGGCCACGCGCGGCACGAGAACTCACGATACATAAGGACAAAACTTGCTTCGATAACCTAAAAGCAACAAATGCGTGGCCTTGCAAATAACAGGCTCGTACTCCACCAGCTGAAGGCCTTCTGTCTCCTGCGCAGGGCTCCGGACAAATTTTCTCCTACTCAGCCGTTGGTGCAACCTTCAGAGGGGTGTAGAGGCAGCCCAACGGCACGATGACACGGGTTGCATCCAGCCTCGCGGCAGAAGGCACAAAACGGCACCCGAACCGGCCCGAGTCCATTTTCGGGCCTGGTGCTGGGCCAAATATTCCATGACATTCGTGTACCTGTGATCTGCTCCTGCGATCTGACCTCGCACGGGAATGAATCGACGATTGCACTGGCTGCCTCACTCTGAATGAACTTGGTTTTCAGTCCAGTGCATCCATGGCTGCAATCACAGTGTCAGAGACCGCACCACCTCAACATGGCATGTTTGGAGGTACACTGTCAACACAATGGGGTGCCAACAGCAACTGCCCTGAGTCGCGCACTCAGCTAGCCGCCTACTTCTAGCTTCCCTCTTCCTTGAGCAGCGCTGCTCTGGTCGGGAGCGTGAGTCGAGAGCAGCGTCTCCATTACAACCACTCCCCTGGCCCTGACGAAGTGGGTTCGCGACAGGCAAGCAGGTGTTGCGCTTTGCATTGGAGGTCGGGATTTGGGGCATGAGGTTCCAGGTTCAACTCGTGCCATGCTGTTGACTTGACTCTAGGTGGTCCTGACGAAACCAGTTCAAACTACATGTCCAAATTGCAGGGCCCTCTGCATGCCAAGCTCCCGCCATGCCCTTCAACGATTTTTCCGACCGGTAGCGGCGTCGATCGTGGCCACCAAGTGACACACTTCTAGAAAGGTCGTCCAGCAGGTTCAGCGTGAACCTCGTCTCTAAAACAAGTGCATCCAACCCTCAGCTTCGGCTGTCTGTGGGAGTCTGAGGAGCGTGCTTGCAATCCGCAACTGGTAATTCACAAGAATCTCCTCCCAGACAGTGAAGAACGCCAGCCCCGATTCGATGAGTCTCAACACACAAACAGAGAGCCTCGCTACTTGTGCGCCCACGGTCTATTGGATCAGACTTCAACGCGAATCCCGACTGAGAGCCTACCTGACAGCATGGAACGACTCTAACTCTAATATTCTTGACGACAATCTAGTTTGCGAGATACGAGCTGAACGGAATCACCAGAACTTGAGAGCACAACGCCATACAGCCTGCATGTCGAGAAGCTTCCTTGCAGGGTGCCTTCAAGAAGGGTCTCAGACCTGCCCGCTTGCAGTAAATCGACCGACGGAGTCGAACAATGCGTGGAACAGCATAGGACAGGCTTTTGCCACAGAGCTGGGGAGCAGACCCCTGGAGAGGAAGTCCGCATGACCAAAAGATACCAGAAAGGATTCAGTAGAGCTCCGCAGCCTCGTCCCGGCTCGCACAACTTCAAACAATGAAGCCTTCGCATTAGTGGAAGCCTTGCCCATCGTCAACGTTTGGGTAAAGACTGTCACCACGTGCAGTGGCTAAATTACAAGGAACGAGCTGAACATCTGGAAAAGCGTGCAACACATACAAAATTCGGAGAATGACGCAGCTACAAACATAACCCGCGATAGGCAGGGGGATTCATATTAATATAACCCGATGGACCGACATTCATGGGTAGCTTGTCTCCCAACGGTTTGGACATCGCAACTCAAGGCACAGACGCCAAGCTGCTTTCAGAGAGAGCCCCAGAAATCTCAACGACAAGGGTGTGTTTGTGTTTCGAATGAACATTCCAACAGCCTGATCCTGCACCGTGTTGGATTCCAACTGCACATCATCCGGTCGAACCTGCACGGCACGAAGCTTACAGCCCACAATCCTGGTCAAGAGTGGAATTGACTTGTATGTTCATGCAACTCCGGCTTCCAGCACGCACATTTTTTGAACCTTGGCCGATCAAACAGCACCGAACTTGTTATGAACAACCCCTGGAATACCCCTGATAAGAAACCTAGGGTTGCTGCACGCTGCAGCTGATGCCAACTAGCGCTCCTGGACTTGCCGGCTAACTTCAGGCATGGGTCATGCCAAAACCCCAAGTGGGAAGCTGACTTGATCGTCCACAAAGTGGAAGAACACACTTGATGCTCAGGTCTACGTTCCTGAACCGTTCGAAAGTCTCAAGTCAGCCACCACCAAAACCCCCTACTCCGGGCTTTCCCGGAGCGACTTTTTCGCCGATTGTTCCTCATTCGAGGTTGGAGCAGGTCGCTTCTGTGGCGTTGCCACCGGCCTGGGTTTCTTCATCTCCAGAAACTTTACCTGAGAGTCAATCACTGGGACATCATGGACTTGCTGCTTGTGGGTGAGGCCCTCGATATCAAAACGAGTTCTTCTGACCAGTTCATTTCTCAAACGTTAGCACTGGGACTGGGAATTTGTTTTGCATCAACCGCCATAAAACCGAAACAACACCTAACAACACCCTGAACCCTAAACCCTACACACGAGCCGAGCTTCCCAATGAGAATTATTCATGGGCAGTGTCTGCACTGCCGGGACTGGGGCCTTCTTCGGCATGAGTTCCTGCACCCGGTTTGGGATTTAGGGTTTAAATTAGGGTTTAGGATTTAGGGTTTAGGCCTGAAACTACGGTTTAGGGTTCAGGGTTTAAATTAGGGGCCAAACGTACTGAACATGTGGCAAAGATGTGCAAAGATGCTTTTTCACGACCCACCTAGGGAAGGAACCAGCAGGGATCCATGCAACTAAAGCCAATAGGGAGGCTAGGGGGTAGGATTTAGGGCCCCACTCCTGCCTTGAGGGTGTTGATGACCTTGTCATGGATGCTGTTCACGCGCTGCCGCGCATCTTCCAACGGTTCAAGCTGGGCCTTCAATTTCGGCAGTAAGTCCTGGGGGAGCATCATCAACTCTGTTGCCAGAAAAACTGGCACAACTGTGGGAACATATCATGATGGCACCTCCACGCAGTGAACCTGCTTCAGCCGTTTGCAGTTTGCACGCCTTCACCAACAAAGCCCAAACAAGTCAAAACGTGTCCTGTTGCAGCTTGTGCCAAGCCATCTTTTCCTGTGGCGTCCACTTGCGCCAGAGTGGCATGTACCCCGTTTCTGCCAGTCTCTTCAAATCTCCTTGCAAGGCCGCACAGCAATGCTTCACTTCCTGCTCCACGGCTGACAGCCCCTGGACCATGCCAGCCGCGGATTCCTCAAACTTGATGCCGATAGCAGCCTATACAGCCCAGTCACGTCCAAGCAGGCGCAAAAAACACAGTTCAACGACAAGCTGTTTAGGCAACCATGTTCCAGAATGCTTCCCCACAGCATACAATGACAAAACCACTTTGCAAACCAGGCCTGGCTGATGCGTTGCTTCTGCACAGCATAGGAAGAATCTGCACATCGAGAAGATGCACGGGTCAATGACTTGACCACCTGCTGCTGGACCTTGCCAGTGACGTCCGCACTGTGCCGCTTCACTGAAGCCATCATGGCATCTAAACCTGCAGTGGCAAGCAAATGGAACGATCCAGACCCTGAAGCGAGTGAACTTGTCAGGGAAAATGCCACAACTTCAAGAAGCCAAGGAACGCAAAGATACAGAACTCGAAAAGTCCAAGCCCTCTTGCAAGGCAACCACCTCCGCTTCCTGACGGCAGCCTCCTTGCACGATGTCCCGATGGATGTCTTCATGAAGCTTCGTCATCGCTAGTTTCAGCTGGGATTTCACGTGCCTTGCTTGCTGCGGCAGCTTGGTTCCAAACAAGTCACGCCAGTTCTTGCTGAAGGTTTTGTAGACAGGCTCCGCCAACTCTTCTGGCCAATCCAAGCTTCCACGTTTTGGGTGTTCCCAGGTGCAGCCTCGACGCACCATGCCCTTGTAGGTGGCGTGGTGGTAATTGCTGTGAACGGCCCACTCGTTGGATGTGGCTTCTGCAGCAGCTGTGCCGGTCGAAGCACCTTTCCGAATCTTGGCAACTAAAGTGTGGTGCAGCTCCTCCATGGCAGATGCCTGAAAGGATAATAAGGTGAGGCGGTGAGGAACGCATTGACAGTTGTGATAAAGTGTCTGCAGTCTACAAACCCCCGTAGTGTGCATTTTGTTCTCTTATCTTTCTTGTCGTTTTTGACTAGTTTGCGCCCCCAGCCTCCCAAGAAGTCACTACTCGAGACACCGCCTCCTGAAAAGCATGGACATGGCATTGGACGATCTGTTGGCATTTTCGTCTCCGGTTCTCCTCTTCCGTGCCAGGATCACTCAAGTGGGCGACCACCTTCTTCAAGACACTGCAAAGTTGATTCAAGGGCATTCGCTCTGCATCAGAGTGGCGTTTCAACGCTTGCATGTGCATCTGTTTCCGCACCTGCGGCACTTGTGTTTGCTCCTTGCTCTCAAACGTCAACGGTTCGTAGACATCAAAGCCCTGGACCCGGAGATAGTCCGTGGCGGAAACCGCAAACGCCCCCAAGACGGTTGAATTTGCTTGCGTGCCATTGGAGTGCCACAATTCACATTCCATCTCCTGGGCGAATCGAAACGGCACCTCTTGCGCTCGCTGCAGGGCCAACATCTTTCGTGAACCACCTTTTCTCTTGGCAACCTCGGACTCGTTCAGAACATCAGAATGGGTAAGGATGAAAGTGATTTCACCTTCGTTGTTCTTGTTCAACAGCACCTTTCGCGAAAGGGAGCGGAGCATCTTCCGGGCGAGCTGGTTGCTGAGGCCTCTTGAGATCTTCCTTGGCAGCCGTGACAAAAGCAGGACAGTGGTTTCGCAACCTTTGCCACCAAAGCACAAGTGCGTCAAGTCAAGGGTTTTCCTTCAGTTCAATTACAGCCACATGCTCCGAGTACAATTGGCACCCCCGTTGGTTGACCGCAAACTTTGAAGAACGACATGTTGAAACCCGGCCACTTCCCATGACAAAAGCTACGTGGATCAGGGGCGATAGAGTGTGTGTTAGTCCTGCAAGAGCAACGACACGCTTTAGACTACAGTTGGATTCTATTGATATCCTTCGCAAGCACGTCAGTGAGTCAGCACGTGAGGTGAATGAGGTGAGTGAGCTGAGTGAGGTGATGGAGGGAGTGAGGGGGTCAGGGAGTGAGGGAGTCAGGGAGTGAGGAAGTAAAGGAGCGAGGGAGTGAAGGAGTGAAGAAATGAGGGCTCTTACGCTGCGGGTCCCTCTCAGCATCGCAGGGAGGCTCCGCAAGCGTCATTGCCTCCCTCTGCCACAGACTTCAAGTTCAAGTGGGGCGAACTAGTTAGCAGCGCGCAAAGCAACAAGAAACAACGATTCGCAGCATGAAATAAGGACAGCCGTTTGAGATGCTTGCTGTTACTGTTCTCGCTGTAAACATCTCATAATCGAGGTGGCTATGCCAGATGACTTCCGCCACACACCTCGTCCATGCAGAGATTTCATCCAAAGCCTTTGTGTTAGGTCACACTTTTTAAATTGCTCTTTGTCAAAAAGATGTCCAAACCGTGTTCCCTTCCGACCTTCCACGCACGGCAAGACTGGATACTCTTTGCCCCTCAAAGTAAGGCAGTTATCCGCATTATTCCACGGAGGTCCTCGGGCATAAGCGTAACAAAACAAGCCCATAGACAAACTCATGCCAAGATGCGCCAAGACCCATACAAAGTCTGCTGTCTCCACCAGGCTGGCAGCCATTTCACGTCTCTGCCTGTTGTCATCTCCTAGCCCAGCAGCATCGATCAAAGTAACCCCATGCAAGACGGGGTTCGGCAGGAACACCTCCACATGGCTGAGGAACGGAGCCATCCTTTTGGCCGCAGAGACCGTGACCCATTCCCGGAGCTCGTCACAGAACGCCAAAGGGTCATCCTCCTCGATGGAGTAGATCGCTGAACCGTCTTTGTGGCTGATCTTGTCTCCGCAAAGCCTCCCAAACAAGATCTGGACTCCCGGAACCTCTGGATCTTTCCGTTCAAGATGTTGAAGCAACTCACCTTTGCTACTCCACGACTTCACCGTGAACAGGTGGTCACCATACCATTCGTGAAGAGTCTGAGTGGCAAAGTATGCCTCGTGTTGGTCGTTGGGAGGCAGCTTGGCTTGAATGACTCGCTCTTTGCGGTCGCTCAACCAATAGTCAGAGATGCTGTCTATCAGTTGCTGGCGCTGTTCCTTGAAGGCAGATGGCTTCAGAAAGTGCAACTTGGCCCCGTACTTGCACCAAGGTGATTCTGGAACTGTCGGCACACCCTGAGAAATTTGCGACAGCCATTGAGCCCAACCTTGTCGGTCTTCACCTTGAGGTTTTGGGGCTGCACTCTCACGATGATCGCGATGCGTGTAGATCATAGTGCAACTGGTGACCGCACTGCCGGCACAATCGCTGGGAGCAATTCCTGGCATATCCAGCAAGGCACTCACCAATGCACTTTTGCCCTCACCTGTGCTTCCATACAGCAAAATGTTGACCGGCCGTGGCCCGAGCCGAGCCAAAGCAACTCCCCCCATCTCTTGTTTCCAGGAAAGAAGTGTTTCTGCCACGGGCTCGCAGGCAAGACACTGGTCGATAAGCCCCACCACGTCAGCCTGCACTGCGCGGGCGGTCTTATTTGCCTCCAGCATGCTCGTTCTGGATGCCAGGTAATCTGCGGCTGCGGCCCTGTCTCTAGAGCCATGATGGACGAGCTTAGCACAGTGCTGCAACTCCATGTCCGCTCTCAAAATGGAGCCGGCCATGGGAGTGTCACCCACCAGGCTGAGCTTGATCTCAAATTTCCTCGGAAAAGACTGCGATAGCATCGACTCTCGACCAGCACCAAGCAATCTACGTTCTGTGTTGAGAATGGACAACAAGTTCTGTCTTTCATGTCATCGCGACACACTGTCCGACTGAAACCCTGGGCAGCCATGCCGCTAAACAGGAGAACAACACTGAACAGGACATTCAATGTCATTCTCAAGAGCTGTCAAGTCTATCCAAGTCTCACGTGTTGCTGGTAGCCTTCGGCCAACAGCTTCTCTACCTCCTCTTGGTGCAGCTTGATGGCTTCGCCTCGCGACCTGCCAGCTCAATGGACGTCCCGTACGTGTTGTGAGCGACACAGCACAACGCCACACGTAGGTGTGCAAGTACTTGCACACCTATTCGTGACAGGCTGCATGTATGCACGACGTACCCAAAACTATCCCCAAACTCAGCAAAACACACAACTGATGCAAAATGCCTGCATCCATGGCGTTTGTGCTGCTTGGGGTTGTCATCGCGCCACGACTGCTGCACCAGTTCCACGACGTGGTGGGTGTGTTTCGTGAGGCTGCCTGAGGGGTGGCAGCTTTGAATGCTCCAGCTTTTCTGCGACTTTTGTTTCCTCATGAACTGAAGGATTGCCCCAGTCAACAGTGCGTGAGCTAAGCGCTTGCAAACTGCCATGTTGATAAGATCAAAAATCCAGCGCCAAGCGACTCCACACCATCGAAGCCACGTGTCTGCCCCATCCTTTTGGCTCTAGCTTCGCTAAGGTCTCTGCGTGCAACTCGTCTGCATCAGAGAGGGCGGCCGGCACTGGCCGCAGGTGAAGAACGCCGTGCTGCACGGTACCTTCCACCTTGTAGGTCACTACCACGCCTCCGCTGGAATCATTGGGCACCGACATGGGATATCATGGGCTACACTTGGCAACGGATTCTCGCTAAGTCTTTGCCCACCTTGCTCTGCCTTCTCCAAATGTTCACGTGGAGGCTGCCAGTAGGCCACCAGCCCTTCCACTCTATGGTGACTCTGCACCTGCTTCAAAAGGAGGAAGATGGGCGCATTCGCCAAAGCCAAGTCCAATCTCCACACATCGCCAGTGTGGAGCAACCGCGCAGTTGCCACATGGCTGCGGTCTAGAGTCCCCATGACGCTACGAAAAGAGCTACATGTTGACGTTCAAAGTACGCAGTTTGAAAGAAACTGCTTAAAGGCTTCAACTTCTGCAGGCCCTCCGAGCTGACAAACTGATATTGGTTATGTTGCAGCCTGAATTTTCTCAAATAGCCATCGTGGAGCTTCAATCAACTGACAGAAGGCGACAAGAGGAGGTCAGGTCACCAAACGGTCAAGATCTGGAATTCGGCAGAAGCTCCGATGGTGACTCACTCGTCACATCTGAAATGTCCTGCTTTTCAAGGTAATACTTAAGTCCTCTTGGTCTCGGAGCTCTGCACGATCCACATGTCGAAGCTCAACGTTGTCACTGATACAACACTATGTCATGCATGTCACAAAACGGTGATGGAACTTGCTCATGCTTCAAACTCTTGAAGTTATGCACTTTCGGACCATGCGCCTCTCTCTGCACCTCTGTTCCACCCGAGGATAAGGGCCGATCTCAAGACGCAGCCGGTGCATCTGAGCCTCGGATCAAACTTTCTCGATCTCTGCAGTGCAATCTAGTCTATGCGCCGACAAACAAGCCTCTCCTCCTATCTACTCTACTGCATGACAAGATTCATAGTACCAGGTTTCAACCTGCCACATTCAGAAGCTGAGTTCCAATCTTGAGAAGATCAGCAGCCGCCCAACACGGTCATTCCTGCGAAAGCAACATGCACGTGTGGATCATGACTGGATGAACTTATACACGACCCCCGAAGAACACCCTCACGAAAAGCGCAAGCATTGCCAGCCTGCATCTCAAAATGTAAGAATTGCGCGCCGCATGGGTCTGTCATAACCACATCAGTTTTCCGCAATACTCTGTGCTTCTAAGAACATGCAATAGATAAGGCCAACGCTGCAAAGGGAACACCACAAAGGAAGTTGAGGACACGCTTTCATCTTACATCGAACATGTTGAACCTCTAGTTTACGTGCCTGTGTGTCGGCAAGCGATTCATACGGTTCTACATGCCCACCATGCCGTGCCTGGATAACCAGCCCAGATTCGGGTAAGGTTCATATTCTTGTCCAAGCTGGACACTTTGACCGCGACATTTTGATTTGAACCGACTTGACACGATACCTGACAGCAGTTGCACAGACAATCAAACGCCAACGGGGGGTGCCATGGGATGTTATCAGAAACTGTTATCAGCAGACCAAGGTGCAGAAAGGCACTCGACAAAAGCAACCCATCAGAACTTGGGCAGACATTCGCTGTAAGAGTCTGAGGCATCAGTTAGAGGGGCCCATGGCCATCAAGAACGCGAAACTTTGGCTTCCCCAGTGTGAGAAAAGCCGTGCGCGAACAAGAGTGCGCTTGGGATATTTCAATTCTGTGCTCAAACGCACAGACAGACAGACAGACAGACAGACAGACAGACAGACAACAGACAGATAGACTGTGCACCGTCACGTACACATCGAAGTAGAAAAGCTAGAGCCGAACAACTTCCGTCCTGCAACGATTGCTGGAGTTCTGCAATCGCTTCCTTCTGCAGCCTGAAGACAGGCCTGAGCCTGGAGAAGGGGTCGCGCTGCACTTGCAGATTCATCTTATTGTGAGCAAAGTGGTGATATGCACCCTGGTGGGGCCTAGGAAGGATCCATGGCATTGGCCCAACTACGCGGCCTCACGGGTGGGCACTTTCTGGTTGAGGCATTGGGCTCCCGGCACTGTCTGAGCTTTTGTGCGGCTCTAGCACCGGATCGTTTGCTGGACGCCCGGAATCTGCCGCTATCACGGTTGGGTTTGTTACGGGTTCCCACCGCCGCCGCCGCGCCACATCCCTGATTTGGAGGCTCACCATTACCCTTGTTGTTTGGTCATGTCATGACATGCCTCAGGTTCTGAACAAGCAAGCACTCAAGGCGAGGTTTTTGGTCATATGCAGCAAACTGGCACCGTATGTATCAGTACTGCCCGTCAGCCTGGTGTGGATGCCTTGCGTTGGTCTACGACGTCTATGGGTACAAGTTGCTGTTGAAGTCGCAGTTGCGTAAGGCGAAAAAGAAAGATGCCATAAGGCTCCGTTGGCCATGAGAAAAGTCGCGTAGGGGAGATAATGTGTCGGCAGATGGTCGGCCCTTGTCGGCCTACCACGCATCTCAGCACAATGCTTACGGCCTAAACCTGCTGCACAGCTTTCCAAATGCTTTCTCAAAAGAAGCAGACGGTGCATGAGATTTCTCTAGCCACCACCCCAGACCCCCTCACTCCGGAGCGAGGGTCCTTCAGACCGAGCTCAGACACACTCCGAAAGCATACCTCCCACGCAACGAAGCTTCGCTAGTAGCTCCCTCAATCCTAAAGACTGTAGAAGATGCTTGCTTGTTGTTCTGTCGGGCCGTGCAGGAAGCTCCAAATGACTTGAAATCTGAATTTTCACGATCCCTCAAACACCGCAAATCCAGCAAAAATTATGTTTCTGATTGTTGATAGCCCTATGGAGCCCTCTAGGAAGTCCCAGGAAGCCGAACAAGGTCGAAAATGAATCACACTGCAGAGCGATGTTGCGTTCGACTCCTGTTGGCCCTTTGGGAAACTAAAAAAGACTGAACATAGTTAAAAATAATAAACTGAAATTTGACTTTTGGTGGTTCCTGAAGCCCCAACACTTGACAAAACGCCTGCTTCCAGCCATTTTTAGCCCCATGAGAAGCAAATGTTGGAAATAGCTCAAAACATCACTGATTTGCAGTTTCGGTGCTCTCCGTGCTTGTTTGTCGGGTTTGGCCTTTTGAACTCAGAGCTCAGCTGGAGCCGTTTGCTCTCATTATCAACATCAACCATAGTACGGTGGCAGAAGGTGCGCCCGACAAACACTTTGGTGGATTGTAGGCCCGCTAATCGTGGCCACGCCTGTGAGCATGGAACAAGCCCAATGTTCTTGATGAGGTTGTGATTTGCGTAGCAAATAGAATGTGCCTAGAACTTGGATTAAGTCTTTGGTAGATGACCACGAGCACTGCATCAAAAAGCAGCACTGTTGAGGGTGTCTGCCCAAACCGCTGGGAGCTTTCTTCACAGGCTACACATTCAGCGATCGGAAGTATGAGCACCCCCCCTGTGACTCCTTCCAGGCGTGGCACGGGATGGTATCCATCGCCGATGGTTCGTGTCACGTTTCATGCAGCTCTAACCTTGGTGCCTCTCTGGGAAGCTTCTGGCACTGCTGTCTCGTTGTGAGATCTGCCGGCAGTCAAACATGACAAATTCGAAATGACTTTGAGTTGGCCGGCCTGCTGCGCAGTGTAGTCTTTTTCCACCGCAGAAGGCGCATGCCTGCAACATGCACTCAATCGCAGCGCGGCCGGGAACAGCAGACCCTCACTTTAGGCAGCGTATTGGTCCAGTTCATGCACATAGCGTCTCAGAGAATGGTGGGCATGTCTGGACTCCAGAACTACCGTCGTGATGGAACAGGAGCTGTGAGAACCGTGCACGGCTACAGGCCCTGTAGCACACCCCGAGAATAAGTCCTGCTATATTGGCTTGGAGTCTCCCTGCCAACTCGGGCTATCAGAGCCGCAGGGCCCGATTCTCAACACCGTCATGCGGCACACCATTGCGGACGGGCAGCTTCACGGGATCGAGAGATGGAGATGCTATCGATTGAAGCCAGCACCGTGAAGAACAACCGCATCCACCACAGCGACTTCACCCCGTCACGTTGGGTCTCGGGAAGCATGCCCCTGAAGACGGACGCCCTCATCAACACCAATGCAGAGCACTACTTGGGAACACAGGAGGACAACACAAAAGCAGCACACCCGAGGATTCCACCACCAAAGCCATCCAGATCGAGACGAAGACAATTGTGGTGGGCGGGTTCACGAAATCGAGGAAAAGTGCCCCCAGATCCATCACATCATGAAGGATGGGCACCGCTTAGATATGGACAAAACAAAGTCCAAGAAAGCGGGCATTTTCCTGCGGCTGGCACACCAGCAGAATTTTGTTCGGTGTGAAACCAAAGCTTGATACATGTCAGACCATGCGTGTACACGTCGTGCTTGGTGTGCTCAGCATTTCCATGTGACCTGCCACGATGCGTGGCTCAAGCATGCGACCCGACCGCGCCTCCTTCAGACCGAAATCATACACACGTCAAAAGCATCCCTCTCAGGCACCGTAGCTCACCCGTCGCTTTGCAAAAATGACTCATCAACTCGGAGCCCGACCTGACTCCAGCCGTTAGTTTCCCTCACCATCTTGACAACGCGCAACAACCTTGAGATGCATTCGCATGGTAAACGACCAACGGACTGTAAGAGTCGTTCAAACAGCCGCCAGATATGACTGAATTCTGTCGACTCTGGGCAAAGCCACGTAACGGCTTTTCAGGACGGGGTGCGAACGATTTACCAAGCTGCGAATCAGATCGGCCGAGCATCGAAACAGATCCATTGAGCCGCGGCTCGAAACAGTGTCATCGTCGCCCGGACTGCTGTCTGTCGTGCCCACATCTCGGTCGTCGTGCTCGTCTTGGTCCTCGTCGTCGCCGTGGTGTCGTCAGCAGCGTCGCGACAAGCCATGCTACCGCCGAAAGCCAAACCGTTACGACGGGCTGACACCTTTTTCCGAGGTGGTGTAAAGCGCATCGCGCCGGACCCGTCGCCAACGCTAAGCTGGGCTGGCCGGCGCCGGGGGACGCCTTCAGCTACCCGGCCCGCCGCCCGCCAGCGCGCGACGGTCCACAAAATCGAATAATAATCTTAAAAGGGTGGAGAGGGCGGGGCTTGAAGGCCGGGCGACGTCGATCCCAAAAGGCAGCTGCGGGATCGACGTTCGCCGGCTTGTCCTAGCACACACAAGTGTGTTACACGACAAGCCATGCTACCGCCGAAAGCCAAACCGTTACGACGGGCTGACACCTTTTTCCGAGGTGGTGTAAAGCGCATCGCGCCGGACCCGTCGCCAACGCTAAGCTGGGCTGGCCGGCGCCGGGGGACGCCTTCAGCTACCCGCCCGGCGCTCCCCTTCCCCACACTGCGCCGGCTCAGCCCACTCAACAAGCCAGGTTCAGCAGGTCGTCCGCCGCCCCGTGGATCGCATAGTCGAGGTCCTTCGCCGACTTCTGGAGGATCGCCAGGATGGCCGTCAGCGGAGTCTCTACCCTGGTCCATCCCATGCTCCGCGCCGTTTCGAGGTCGCCTCGGGAGACCGCGTCAGCGATGTTGGCCTTGGAGGGTACTCGCCGGAAGTCCGGGAGCCACTCACACAGTGACGCCGTGGACCAGAAGGCTGCGATGACGCCGTTCACCGTTTCGTCCTTGCCGTAGCCCTTGGATAGGGCGAACTGGCCGGCGACGTTGTCGATGAACGCCATCCACCGCGCCGGGAGTGTTCTAGCCAGGGTTACCAGCGCCAGCACCTGTGCCAGGACCTCCATGCAGGACGTAGATGAACGCCTTCCGGGCCTTGAAATCCCTGTTCAAAGCAACTGACCTTCCGTTCGTTGGTATCT